GTTATCCTTATTATTTATAATTTTAAGAATACAATTTTTTCGGTAAAGAGATAAAAATGCTATGTTGTACGTTGACCAAACTGGCAATATATTTATTTATTAAATATAATAAAAATAGTAGTTTCCGAGCTTGATTTTTTTACACACTTGCAATAAATATATGGATATACGAGTAATCTACTATTAGGTATAAACTATTAAATGGCTATCAGATTTTGAACAATTCAGCCACCGTCAGCCAAGGCGATTAAGTAATTCGAGGCAATAATTTAATAAACTACAAAAGAAGGTATTTAGAATAGTTATATTAACAGTTTACAAAATAATTTGAGAAAGTTTAACGGCTGAAAATACTCAATCATAGAGAAAAGATAACGATAAGAAATCGCAGCATTTTTAATTAATCCCTTTGCTAAAGCTTTTAAAACAAAGCTTTAAAGAGAGTTTCGTGTCAGCTAAGATTCAGATATATATTCAGACTAGTTTGAAATTATTTTGGTGTATCTTACAAATCGTTGATACAGCCAGTTAGATATTTCTCAATACTTTCAAACAAGGAAATTGTCATTCTTTGTAATGGTAAAATGACAGTGTAGATGTTGAATATAAAACTGGTATCTTGCGCTACAGCTTTGTAGACATTTTTTATGTATAAAATCTTATAAAGAACCATTTGGAAACTGCGTGGAAGCCAAGTATTCATTATATATCTTCTCCTGTGCTTGCTGAGACTTTTGCAATTTCTTAAGTAAGCCTTTACTAATTTCTTTACCTTCGGCATCGTGCGTCGGCAATCCCTGCGTAAAAATATGAGAAAAGTATATAAAAAAAAATTTAAACGTAACATATATTTTAAATATAATAGAATATTACATGCAAAAGATGAATAAGTACCTTGTCATCAAATTGCGAATATTTATCTTTCTGCAATCTGAACATATCATTCGGCGATATTCTTCTTTGCGCTTCTTTCGCCGCTGTGGCGGCAGCAATTTCAGCTTTTCTTTTCTCCTTTTCCAAGTGTTTCTCGAGTTCTAATTTCTTCTTAATTTCTTTCTCTTTTAACAACTCTTCCTTGTTAACTAATTTTACTTTACAAGCGCCTTCATTACTATCTTCCAATCGCACGCCGATGTTCGGCAAAATCTCGTCGCGCAATCGATCGCACTCTTGCAAAATTTCGGTTGCCTTCAAGGTTTTCGCGCAATTTCGAATTTTCTCCCGGAAATTTCCCAAAATTTCAAGATATGGCATGACGGTCTCTTCAACCTGATCGTAAAACATACAAAAATCAAATATACATTTGATAAATATGTATATATTATTTTGAATTGCATTTTAAAATATCTATATAAATTTATCTCTTATTTCAAAATAAGCTACTCGAGAATTACGTATCTTTCAAACACTCAAAAAATCTCATCCCAGTTATCACAACATATTTTTAATTTCTATTCAAATTTTGCACTACTCGGACCAAAAAGTAAGTTGCAAATGTGGATTCCAAGGACTAAATTTACGATAAAAGAGAACTTGGAAAGAAATAGCACGAAATGTAAATAGTTATATTCGTTAAAGTTGAATATTTATATTTTTCAAAGTAAAGAAAAGAACGTATTGATATATCAATATTACATTTGTAGTGACTGCCTCATCATCAATTGGAAATCCAATTGAATCGTAGGAAGAAGAAATTGCTCCGAAAAGGATAAACATCTTCGTAATATATACAGCAATATCCCTAAGAAGAAGCATATTTGGATTTTTACTTTGATTCATGTACACGTTGCAATTTGCTACGAGCTCTCGTATCAAATCGAGAACAGTCCTCGTATCAATATTGTCTGCAATAGATACGTCTTATTAGTGATACAAATTTAGATCTATCAATGATTAGAACTTACCGCACAATGCTTTATGTATAGAATGCTTTGCAAGATGAAATTTCTTGTCGAGTTCTAATTCGGAATCTGACCATTTAGTAAAAGTACTAATAGTAGTATTTGTTCCCAAACTTCTAATCCTGCATTTTACATTTAAAAAGAATTCCTGAAACAAACACGAGTAATGTTACTTTTATAAACTTAAACTTAAAAATCTGCACAATACAATATAAATTTTAAATATACATCTTTTCAGACACGTGATATCGAATGAAAATACCATACAAATAAAAAATTGTGTTCGCTCACATTAAGAAACTTTTCGTATTGCGTAGTCATACTCATAGTATTATCGCTGTAATCTAGAGTATCTTTCCACGAATGCAGAAGGAAGGCAAGTCTGAGCTGCCTACTAGAATGTTTCTTTAAAGCGTCTTGTATTGTCACAAAGTTCTTTAGCGACTTTGACATTTTGCAGCCAGCTATAGTCAAGTGGCCAGAGTGCAGGAAATATCTGACCCAATGCGAATTATCAAAATACGCTTCGGCTTGCGCGAGTTCGTTATCATGATGGGGAAACTTAAGATCCACCCCGCCTGTATGGATGTCCAAGCTTTCTCCGCAAATTGCTGACGCCATGACCGAGCATTCGATATGCCATCCTGGACGTCCTTTGCCCCAGGGACTGTCCCACCAGGGTTCACCGGCCTTTGAGCTTTTCCAGAGTGCAAAGTCTGTTACCGATCTCTTCTCCAACAGCTTCTCTGCCGTGGTGCTCAAGTCGCCTTAGAAAAATTAAGGAGAAAAAATTATACAGGGTGCTCCCGAATTAAATGGCCAAACTTGAAAGATGTATTTAGGACCTCAAAGCAAGAAAAATTTTTCTCTGGAAATATGCTCGTAAACGTTCCGTTCACGAGATATTGACTTCTGAAGTTATGAACTGTTAGGAATAAATAATTTCGAAATAATTTAGATTTATCCTCTCTATTGCTTTTTAATAATAAAAATTTAATTATTAAACGTTTTGTTCAAAATGATGGCCTCCAGCTTGGAGACATGCATTGCACCTATCGATGACAGAATGAGTGGCTGACTGACATTGTGCGTCTGTAATTTCGTTACACGCCTGCACTATCCTCCGTTTTAATAATTGAAGATCATTAACAGGCACTTCATACTAGTTTATTCGACGAAAGCATTCAACGAACTAAGTACGATGATACGACGCTTTGTTTACCATGCAAATAAAAGCCTATCAATGACCTTCGATTTCGTAAACAAAGTTCCGTCGTACTGTATGTTTTGCGATTGGTTTTTAAATCAAAGAACTTATGATTTACAATTCTCGCAAAACATTTTATGGACAGATGAAGCCATATTTACCAGACAAGGAATTCTGAATCAAAGAAATAGTCATATTTCGAAATTATTCATTCCTAAAAGTTCATAACTTCAGACGTCAATATCTCTTGAACGGAACGTTTACGAGCATATTTCCAGAGGAAAATTTTTCTTGCTTTGAGGTCCTAAATACATCTTTCAAGTTTGGCCATTTAACCCGGGAGGACCCTGTATAAAAATCAAACGTGAAATATAACTACAAGTTACCTTCTCCCTCTTCCAAACTTGACGTATCGCCATACGCCTCTGGTACAAGCTTAGCGTAAGAATGTTTCTCCAGTTTGTCAAACTTGCCGACGTCAAAATATACAGAACCATTACTTTCGTAAGCAAGCCCATTATCTATTATTCGTTGTACAAACGCTATTATCTCAGGTATATATTCACTGACTCTTGTGAGCACGTTCGGCTTTAATACCTAAGAGATTCGTGGAAAAACAATTATTACAAACCAAATTTGTTTTAAAAACCAAGTGAAAACATTTAAATCTTACATTTAGAGCGTCCATATCTTTATGAAATTCAGCTTCCCAATGCTGAGATAATTTATTAAATATAGAATGTTCCGTGATTGTACCACCTTTACTTTCATCCAGCCAATTGGACAAGGGATCTCTAGCCTCCCTCAATAACGCCTGTATATATAAAAATTATTACTACTTTGTACCATTTTAAAGAATAGATTCTATATCTCAAGTGATACTTTCTTCTTGTGCCTCCGCAATCTTTTCTTCATTCTTTTCTTCCACTGCTTTCTGTAGATCCTCAATAGCTTTCGTTATACTCTGTAACATCTTCTCCAACATGCATTTCTTATCAGTGCTACTTGTTGTTTTCACAACATTCTCCAAAGCGGACATCACATCTGTGGTATCATTTAGTGCGCTATTCAGGCCGCGATTTTCCTCCACGTACTTCTCATACAAATAATTCTGCCTTGCTCTTTTTATAATCTTATCATCTATATCGGTAATATTCATCACATATAAGACGTCGTATCCAAAGTAATCTGATAGTACACGGCGTAGAATATCAAAGGATATATATGATCTACAAAAAGATATTCCTATAAATATCTTGTACATCTGAACGCTTAATCATATCACTTCAGATAGAATAGTGAAAAGGATAAAGTAAGACTGTTCCATAGAAAATCTGTTGTATCAAATAAGATTGTCTAAAAGATCACGTTTAGAGAGACTGTTAATACCTTGCATGGCCCATATGTGACGCATCGTAAACAGTAGGTCCACAACTGTACCACAGAACGCGATTACCGAACTGCGGAACGAACACTTCCTTCTGTCTGGTCAAACTGTTGTACAGTCGCAGCACCGTGGCGTCCTTCGCATCTGGCAGATGCCAAGCCGGTTGTGTCCTCCTTGCCATTTCTAGTTTGAAAAGACACGAAACATCATTTCTCCAGTCAAAAATATATTTTCTTCTTGCAATTCGTACAGATTAACCAACAAGTTTCTCTTAATAACCGGAGAGAAAGACAACGAGAAAACCAGGGTGCATTTTCTCAAGATATCTGGAAAACCGATTACGGTAAACAATTAAAAACGCCGATTAAATTTATTAATTTATAATTGATTTACCTTTTCTTCAAGGCACGCTGTTGAAAAAAAGTGAGCTGAAGAAAACTTCGAGATTCGGAAAATTAAATAGAGCGAGAAACTGAACCTGATATCACGTGTCTCACCAACTGCGATATTCAAGTATTCAGATGACGTTATCAAGAAGGAAAAATACGTCAGAAGTTTTATAGTCAAACCATGGAGGAAAGAATATGGCTGACAGAGAGAAACCTGAGAGCGGCCATCCCGGCGTTTTGCCTGTTACCGTTTTCGCTGGACTGATTCCAGCGCTTTACGCCCATTTCCAATTTTGGAACTATTCCGCTACACCCATTTTCAAGTACTGCCGATAAAGTCTCCACTTGGTGCATGTCCGTGGTTGTATTCCGTGCTGCATACATGAAATGTCGGTAACAGGAGAGTGTTATTGATTTTTCGTAACGGGAGCGAGCGAGAAGGTATAAGTATAACCTTCTCGCTCGCTCCCGTTACGAAAAATCAATAACACTCTCCTGTTACCGACATTTCATGCATGCAGCACGGAATACAACCAAAATTGGGCACTGCATTACCCGCTTGAAAAATGGGCGTAGCACGGACACGCACCAAG